CTCAGGAAAACGGATACTTGCCGTTGATGAATTGCAGATGGGTTAATGAGAGTACGGTTGTTTGGTCTCTATGTGTTTGGTGGGTCTGCATAAGGCTTGCAACTGTGACCTTCAAGGTAATTTATGGGTGTTGCTGTGGAAATATTGGGTACTGGATTAGCTTCTAAATGCTGTCCCGTCCTTTTCTACCAAAAACAAGAGATGTGTCCAAAATGTAAGCATAAAGTTGGTTATTCCCAGTGTGGATTCAACTCCCCCAGAGCTGCCACATCTACCATTTCTATGATGATGAAATATGGGTCATGACTGAGAGAAACATATGTGGATCCTGCAGGAATCTTGTTTTTTTTGTTCACATTGTGTGATCTTTTGTTCATTTAAAGGAACTGCTTCAATCAAAAGGAGTTAGTTGAGGTGAAAAGAGCATCAGATCAAGATGCTTTTGGATCACCTATCTGCTATTCTCCATATAACGTGTTACTGGTAGAGACCTATAATTTACAGGAAGGGATTTTGCCTCAGAATGAATGGTGATCCTATTGAATGAGATGTAGAGTCATTAGGGAAATTTATATCAAGCTTTCCTCCTAAGAACGTTACCTTGTTACAATTTAAGAAAAATAAGCTACTCAATAAAAAGATAGAAATGTTGTAAGATTAGTATAACTTCAGCAAACTCTTCCACATGTTCACCAAGGTGTATTATTATTGGAAAGGCTCATATTTTTTTGGATTTCCTTTGCTTTGCCTTTAACCAGTTGAGTTAAATAGGATTTTATTCAAAAAGGTTGATAACCACCATAAAAAATACTTTTCCTGAATGCTAACAATTGTAAGCACTGAGTGTTATTAATATTGTTAAGTAATAAAATAAGTTGTTGTTAATCGGAACAACCATTTACTGAAACACCATCCACAGCTAAGATTTTATACAAACAGATGAAAATGTTACTAGGTGGAAATGCTTTTAAGTAACTTTTTTAATTTTTTATAATTAAAGGGATTTTTTTTCCTCTATTCATAAATTCCTAAACATTTAGAAAGTCAAACTGGGATGCATTTGTATGTTTACTTTAGCGTTCATCACAACCTCCTTAAAGATTTCTTATTCTTTTACGTCTTTCCTGAAACAAAGTTGTGCCATCAGTGGCAGGTTGTGTGTGAGCGTTTCCCAGCGCACCTCCCAGCAAAAGCTCCACGCTGACACCAGTCTGTACGTGTTAATCACAGATGTCTATTTCTCCCCCACTCTGGCCTCCTCCAGACCTCCCATGGCTCTTCCCCCCCGTCTTCCTGCCCCGAGCAACTGCAGCACAGGTGACACGAGGCGGCACGACTAGCGCACCACACATCCATCAGATGGCAAAAAGCAGCAGGAGAGAGCAAACCAAGCTAAATTTAGGAAGTTATTATTCGGTAGAAACAGATTGCTCAAAGTTATGCAAGAACCTGGTCTTATATATATATATGTTACTAGAAATCAGTTTGCATTATTCTCCAGTTTGCATTATGAGATGTTTAAATACTTAAAGTTGTGATATCATGATATGTTCAAGTGGGAGTAATGTGGAGGGTAATCTCTTCTTTTTGACTTATGCCCTCTGCATTTCTGCGCTCATTTTTCCCTGGTGCAAGCCGTGTAGCTCCGTCTGATGTCCGCTCACGCAAACACAACGGCTGTCCATGCACACAAGAGAGCACACATGCACACACATATAGACTTGCTGCAATTAGAGTCATATGATGTGAGCTTACTGCTTCCCACGGTTTCACCCCGTAAGGTCATTTCGTTAGATGAAGACAGCAAATACATCCAATACTGTGAGTTAGAAATTATGAATTTGCTTTGCAGGCATGTCCTCTCACCAAGCTGTGAATTTAGTCTGTTTCATAATGTTGCATTCATAGCATCTCTTTTTCCTTTTGAGAAACTCTTATTTTTCACAATCTACAGTTTATTTCCCAATTGTACAACAAATAAAATATGAAGGGCATACATGCAAACGGTGCAGATGATGAATTTAAACAGCAGCCTTGTGAAGATTACCAACCAGAAAGGAAAGCTCTGAGATACTTGTAAGGAGAAAAGTTTAATTTGTCATACAATTGGCCTCTGTTTGCCTGCTAATATGTCTGTTAGTCTTGTTTGTTTAAATGAATACCATTAAAGCAGCGAGTGCTGCCTTAGAGCTAAGAAAAGGTTTTTTCTTTGTTAAAAGTGTGCCAGCTCTTTAGCCCTATTAGTAGTTTGTTTTTCTTTGGGATGGGAGTGAAGCACCAGGGAAGCTGCACTTTAAAAGGTCACTAATGCACACAGCTTGCTGAGCAGAAAGGAGAAAAAGGAATGCTTGACGTATTTTTGTGCTTTTCATGTGCCTTTTACAGTGAGATTTGATGATTACAGTGAAGAAAGAGAACATGGAGGAAGGTAAAACATTAGATGTGCTTTCCTTAATGTTTTTTATTGACATTTTTAATATTTGTATTAGAAAAGCTTGATGGAAAAAGCAATATTTGAATCAACTTAGTCAGTTTCATAAAAAATATCTTTAAGCCAGCTTGGGAAAGATTTTTTTTTTATTTTGGAAAAAAGCTTATGTGCTACAGAGTAGATGGAAACCTATTTATCAGTTCTGACATAACAAACATTCACATCACTGACTGATCAGCTATTTCCACTGGCCGTGTCAAGTGAAAGCATTAGAACATTACTAATACTAGCTGACATACCAAAGTAAGTACGACTTCGCTGATCTGTTCTCCGCAATAGTTTGCTACTGTACCTCTACTGGACTTCCTGTTTATTACAACCAAGCAAAACCTAAACATAGAACATTAAGCTTTGCTTTGCCTGGTTAATTCCCTCTAATGAATGGAAACAGTAATGGGCATCTTCCTTTTTTTTTTTTTTTTTGGCAGCATTTTAAAATTTCCCTCATTTTTCCCTCGCATAAGAATTGGATGGAAACAGCTACTTAATGCACTGCATCCTATATGTGCACACTTATAGAAAAACAAGTTCTGGTTAGCAGTATACAAAAAGCTGTATGCAATGTTAGCAAATGAATCTGTGCGAACAGCGGAGCAGGGAGTTGTGGTCATTCTGTAGCAGTGGCTCTGTGTGGGCCTACAGATAGGAGCCGGGCCAGATCAGCTCAGCCAGCAAGTGACTGCAGAGTACACCTGTGCTGGCAGGTTCGGACCGTCAGGGACAACTGGAAAAGGCTGTTTCCTTAACTATAGACCTAACTGACAAAGGGAATCATGTGCAGTGGAATGAACAAACAGAGCAAGGGTGACAGTGATAATGTGTAACTGTATTATACAGAGGGTTTTGTGTGCAGTTATGCGTGGCCTTATGGTTGGGGCTCTAGCTCCAGATGAGTCTAGTCTACTAAAAGTTGCCCACCATCCTAACCTTTATATTTGTCATACAAAGTTAGAGGTGGAGTAAATAAGAAAAATATGTTTTTAAAAGGTCAAACCTGAACAAAAAAACAAATGGCGGTGATATGCAGAGGCATTACATTCCCAGAATATAATGTTAAGTTAAAAACAGAAGGAAACAGCAAAATAAAGAAAATAAGCAGAAATAAAAATTGATATTAAGCTGATATCTCTATGTTTTTGTAATGAATATTAAACAGTGGTTTCATGTCTGGGTATCTAGTAAAATCTATCAGGTTAGCGACACTTTATAGAGGAAATATTTAAAATCACAACTCCCTAAGTAGTTGGAATACTATTAGAGAAAATGTAGAATTGTAATTTACACATTTGTGAAATGTGACACATCACATTATGAGGCTGTTAGGGCTCAGTTTCTGAGCAGAACATTTCATTTATGCACATGAACTTAACTTCCAAGTGCTCTTCTTAAACTGTCAAAATCCTGCATAATGCATAACATTTACTCTAAAGGCTTGAAAAACAACATAAGGGATGCAGTGCTACTGTATATATGATGCCTGTTTATCCAGTCTACTATGCTTTATTTAAAAGTGTAGGGCTAAAAACAGTGAATGCATGTGGATGCACTTTTCTTTCATGCTGATAGGCAGATGCTTCCACAAACAGAGCAGTAGTTAGCGTTAGTTGTTCATAAAAGATTAGTAATCAACAATTAACATCTGCCTGCTGTGTATTTATAAAGGAGAGGATAAAAAAAAAGGCGTAAAACATTTCTAAGACTAGAAAAGCACTGTGAGAGCGCAGACCGCTGCCAAGCAGTAAATTTTGACCCACATTGTGACTTAAAGCTATAGCTAAAAATGCATGTGATCTGGATCATCACCAAATGTTAATGAATTGTTCCTTGGCATGAGGTGCACCTTTGGAAACAATATACTTTAAATCCATTCATAAGTTTCTAAATAAGGCTCAGCATACAGTATGCCTGCAGCCTCTGGTGTCTGTTCTGCTCTCCATGTCTTCATTTACTCTGCTTTTATGTTTGATCAGCAGATCGACACGTGTCTCACCTTTCCTGTGTTTTTATCTTTAATATAATACTTCTGGACTTCTTTGACTCAGATGCTGAGGTTGTGTATATTCACTACTGCCACTCTCTGGTTTAGGGGGGGAACTGCTTGTACGGCCAAATAATGTTAAACAATCGTTAAAAAATCCTTGCATCCTGATTATGATGCTGATCACCACCGAATCTGAATATATTGTTCCCTAGATTGAGGTGCACCTTTGGTAGAAATTTAATTAAAATACGTTCATAACTTTTGGAGTTATCCTGTACACAGACAGACAAACAAACACACATAAACTCAATGAAATACATAACCTCCTAGGCAGAGCTAATGATAAGAAGCTGTAGTGCTGTCTGGTGTAGAAGCATATTATGGATTAAATCAGGAAAAAGGCTTCCTACAAACATAAACCAGTGAATAATCAGTGAGATATTGGTGTTCCTAATTATGTGACTGAAATGCTAAATGCAAAAAAAAATAAATAAATAATAAAATTTGCAAATCCACCTGTTTTTGTATCTTTATGACATCTCTACAAGAAATGTCAAAACATACAGTATTTAGGATTTTAGTTAGGACCTTGACTTAAAGGTCTAAAAAAATGTATTAGCATATTATTGGTCATCCAATATCTCCATATACAGTAAAAAAAAAACAATACAAAACCCTACGAGCCAGTCAAAAAAAATAAATAAATTCTGAATTATGTTTATATCTTAAAACAGCAATGACAAAAGTATTATTTGAGCATTTTTTTCTTGTATGTATTTATTTTCTTTCCAAAACCATTGAAGGCCCCACCCTTGGTGTTTTCTTAGAATTTAGTGCATACTTTGCAGGTTGAACTGAGTTCATCGAAGGAGGACTTTGACAAAGGCATACAATATAAATGCATCTGAATGTATTCATAACTTCTCACTTTTTCTATAATTTATTCTGATAATCTTATTCTAAAACTGTTTTTTTTTTCTTTTTAATCAATAATCAGAAATCCCTATGCATTAATGGAGTGGTGAAAGGTTCAAATCTGAGCATTTTTCTAAAAGATGTGAACAATCTTGTGTGACACTGAAAAGTCAGTGGATACTTGTCTACAATCAATGTAAGAAAATAAAAGTTCTGAAAAAACTTTTTTCCACTTTATTACTATCAGATATAGACAATTAAAGCAAGCAGACTTGGACATTCCTTAAGATATCCCTACTGCTGAGGTTTGAACTAAAACATTCTCATCATACATTAAAGATCTGATCTGTGTTGTGAACATGAATATTTTTGGATTTTTTTTATTTTTAAGAACAAAGAACAAAAACATTTTATGAATAGATTTATTAATTTAGAATACAGGTTTAAGACATTTCTCCAGTACACCACTCCTATCCCCTTTCTCTAATACCTTTGTTTCCAATGCTGTGAATGTGATGAACTTGTTGTCTACTGAAGTGAAGCAATAAAATGACGGACAGATGTGTGCATGATCCTATAAAGATCAAGGTAGGGCAAGCAGTGTCACATCCGATTCCTAGCAGGTCTGAGGAACGTCCAGTCCTTGACACTCGTCCAATCTAAAGCTATCGCAACCTCTCCCCTCCAGCTTCAGGCTCACTAATCTCTCCTGACACCTTACACAGCTCCGATAGGGAATCAGTCTCCCCTGAAAACAATCCAGCACTCCTCCCTCGTCACCCCAAATCGGCACCAGCATGCCTCTCTGTCTGTCTGTCTTCCTTAGATTTCACTTTGCCCTCCTCCTCCCCATCCATTCCCTCCCCATTACCTCTCTCTATAGCCTACTCTTTCTCTCGCATTTCCATCTGTCTTTGTCAAACTATATTCTGCTCCTCGCCTATCTTTCCTCCCCCCGTATATTCTCCTCCATCCTCACTTTCTCACTGGGTATATCTTCCCTCTGTCGATGGGAATCTGCTAAAAGACACTGTGATTGCCAGCTGAGGAATAGCCTGCTTTCACTTAGGGACTCATCTCCATTCAAAGCTCTTTTTTTTATTTAACTTTACCACTTTCTATACTTGGAAGGTCATTATCTGCAAGTGCACCTTTTTCCAGATGTAGATGATCTCCAGGAATAACTTTAGGTTGAATAAACAGTAACATATCTTCCCAGACGCCCCTCACCCTAAATATACTTCCCTCCGTTGAGGCAAAAGACAGACAAGGGATCTGCAGACATTTTTTTATTATTATTATTATGTTTGCTCTGTGAGCCCATTAATAAGATTCAGCGCTTACACAGAACAAGACACACAATTTTCCAGTCATAATGTTTGCTTTAGCTAGTTAGTCTCGCCGACTGAATGAGATCTTTTGAAATTCATTTTTCCTAATTAGTGTATTTGGGATTCAAGAACTCTCTTGAGACGAGTCACTCAAAAAAAAAAAAATAATCCCATTTATTATTTAAATGTATTCAACAGTTCCAAAAAGATAAGATAAACAAGTCATAGATTTCAATTAAAAGCTGTTTGTTCTTCTCCTCTTATCTACAGAGGCTCCACCCTAAAGAACGAAATCTCATTGGCTGATGGATTAAATATCTGTCATTGGCTGTAGCAAAGAGTACTGCAACTCTGGAAAAAAAAAAGGGAAAAGATGGCACATGGTAAACGGCAGACACGCACCAACATGCTTCACACACTCAGACACGCAATCATGAGAGACAAACTTACCAATCCAATCAGTTTCACTCTCACACAAGCTGTCAGGCCACTATGTTCAACAGATCTTCCTATAATGCTTGTATGTCACTTTGTATGTAGCTAATGAATGGATGACTTCCCACAAAAAACACTGAAACAAGAAAATTGTGCACTCACTGTTACATTGCCCTAATGCCTTCTTTACCTCCCCATCTGGTGGACTCTCCCTTCTGCCCTCTGCACCAAAAGACAGATTTTTTTTTCTTTTGCCGCCTAAGAAAGCTATGAGCTCACCGTGGCACAAAAGAAGAAAGGATCAGTGCTATGCAACCCCTGAATCTTAAGATTTCACTTCTTCTCATGGCTTGTTGTGCCAACTGGAGCATCAACACGAAGCCACAACAAAGAAAAGATTATTTAAAGTCTGCTTTAATCCGAAGAGACGCAGGACATAGTGTGAGAGTGCAAGAAACAGAGTGAGGGGGCATCGTCTATATGAGATGTTACCTTTTCCATATATATTGAAAGTGCAGGATGTATAATTATTCTCCACATGAATAATACATACAGTAGATACCTTGTAATACCCAATGATGAAGAAAAAACACCCACCGCAATAAAATACTGAAAGTCTTAATTTAAATATTTCTTTTCCAGCTCTTAGATCTCTTATATGCATCACAAATAACATCTCTCATTCAAATAGGATATCTTCACAACGGACAAATATATTCCTTTTTTTTCTAAATCTGTTTTGTGTAGAATATTATGCATGTCAACAAAATAAAATCACAATCAAGGTAAGTTTGCACGGAACAACACTACATGTTTCAGTCAGTCTCGTCCATTGAAGGTCCAGCTGACTGCTTTCACTGTGGAGTAAAGAGGTGGAATCGTCCACTTTTGCAGGGTTGTTGTTTCTGTTGATATCTCTGTGCAATGGAGCAGGGCTAAAGAGGAGAGACACTGTAAGTGAGGAGCTTCTGACACGTCGGTAATGTGGCAAAGGGTGTGGAAAACCAGCAGAACTAACACCCCGCTCCTCCCTGGCCACCTGCTTGCTGGTCTCAGTGTGTCCTCTGGGAGTTTTCCATCCGGGCTTGGCTGCGGAGCCGGGACGTCTTGGCTGATGGATATGAAGCAGAGGTGACTGCGATGATGGAGAGAATTAGGAAAACTAGAAAGCATTCTGGCTTTTTTTTAACAAACCCAAAGCCTCCCCCCACCCCCACCCGTGGTCATGAAACTGTGTCTCTGAGTATCTTCCTTTTTTGACAGTCTCTTTGTCTGTTTGTTCTCAGTCTGCGTAGAGGATGAAGCCAGAGAAGGTGCTGTACTTGTTGTTGTTGCCGCCATGGGCTTTGCCTCCATCTAGTTTGATGTACACCTCATCGCCTGCGTCCAGATGGAGGATGACACTGTTTGAGGCGTAGTCGTAGTTCTGGTCAGCATCTTGAGCAATAGCACTCGCACGAACCTGCAGAAATACAGGGAGATGAAAAGGCTTTTTGGTTACTCCATGTTTCCATATGTGTATATATAAATATATCAATCTACACAGCAACAGAAACAGATGTAATACTACATTAGAAATGAAACCCAATTTTAAATCTGAAATATATCTGTTTGGATCGGACATACTTTTTTTTATAGAAGTTTAACTGACATAAAGACTGAAGGCAGATGGAACGGTCTAAAAAAATTTTTTTTCTATTTTGTTTAATGAATTAAAAACTAAAACATGTAATTCAGGTTGTGACACCATAAAACAATGAAATTAAAGCGATTTTTAAGCATTCAGTGTTTCGATCTGGATCAATTTGTAGGTATTTTACTTTTAAATTAGAGATTGTTTTGAGGCTGTCAGATGTTTTTATGGAATTTACACAAATATGAAGAAATTAAATATATTAGAATATATTGCCATTTTGTATTGTCTGAGTTGTAAAAAGACTAAATATTATTTTACAACAAATGCCTGTTGGTATTGGAGGTGTCATTGACCTATGCTCTTTATAATGAAACAAAAATATTAAAGATAGCATGTTTCCCTAACCTATGTTAACATAACACACTCAAGAACAGAAGTTTGCATTTCAAAAAAACAATGGCATACTTTGTTCAAAACTGCTAATTGAAGCTAGATCACTATTTCATCTTTTTGATTTTTTTGCAAACTGCTTAGCAAAAAATGTTAACCCATTTATTATTTTCACAACTCATCACATCATCTACAAACCTCAGGTGTTTTCTGTGTGATATTTACAAAGTCAAAGAAATTGTTTATTGAGAAAAGGAAGATAAGTGAAAACCAAATTAAAATGTTCATTTTTATGCATCCTGCTGAAATCAATGATTGATTTGGTTGCAACTTCAACTTCATATGTTTTGCTTTATTTCTCCCTACTCAGTTATCCCTCTTGTTGTCTTTTCAAACATCCTCATGTTTTACTGAGGATTCCTATAAGAGAAAAACACAAAGCAGTTCATCATTATTAAGTTCTGGGCAAATAACTAGTTTGTTTAGTTGTTTTTAATAAGAATTACAGCCAAAAACATCTGTCTGCATCAAATTGAGTCAAACCACCTCTGGCTTCAATCGCAGATTCAGATCTTTGGGATATGACGTTTTTGCAGAGCTTGGAATTTTGGTCTGTTCTGGTTTGTAAATATAGCTTAAGCTCTTTTAAATTAGGTGAAAAGCAGAAGTATATCTATCATGTCATGACACAAATTCATAAATGATTGTTGGTCTGGGCTTTACTGGCCCCCTTTTCCACATGAATGTGTAAAGATCAGAGCCATGATATTGTTGCTCTGTAGCTCTCTGTAGATTTAGGGTCACATTTTTGGCCTCACCTTACTCTTAAGTCTATTACACACTAGGACTTTTTTTTTTAGGATTCCCAGTTTTCAGCTTCATCGTATGGGCAGCTTCCCTGTCCACTTGGAACAGAAGCATCCTCACAACATAGTTTTGACACCGCCTTTTTTCTTCATAGATATGGTATATTTAAGATGACTTTTAAGGTTTCTTTACATCAACATAAAGTAATTTGTATGTAGGTTGAAAAAGCTTAAGTATCAGTTGATCCAACCAGACTTTTTTAACATTTGCTGTGTTTGTTTTTTGTCTTGATATTCATGATGATGTTCGTTTACAAAGATTTCTGGAAAACCCATGAGACCCAAACAGAACAGTTGCATTTCTATCGAGAATGAACTACACAAAGGTTGACTTTGTTTACAGAAAACTGACTGTATTAAATTTCATTTAGGGAATCTGGACACAAAGGCAATAAACTCCTTTTCAGACTTCTGTTTGTAAAAAAGTTTTAAAAAACATTCGTGACTTATTCCTACTCTTAATAAACATATGCTACTATTTGTTGGTCTAAAAAACTGAACAATTATTTGATACCTGCTTGTTTTCAAAATGTGGAAAACATTTTCCCTTTTTGAATTACTTAAAATCGGTAAGAATTTTTCTGCAACGCACTGTGACTATAGTGCCTTGTCTTTAGATTGTGTAAATTCTGTCTTACCTAATACCTAAATGAAAACTAAGATTTATATTTTGTCTTTATTTCCATAAAAGTGAATCTCAGCCTTATCAGAAACATTTAGATATTGTTACAAAAATTATTCCATCATAACTTTATTAGTCTTTTAGTAATTTAGCCTGAAATGTAAATTAATTTAAACCACAACCATACATTAAATGTTATACATATAAATTTGTAATTGATATTAAAATAAAGTCAGCTATTTAAAAATGTGGATATCTGTTTTACTTGTAAGGTGCATTGATGTGAAATTGGTTCTTATTTTAAAATATATGAATAAATTACACTGAAATGGAAGTTCATCAAATCCTTGAATACATTTCTGTGTATGGGCTCCATTTCAGCAACAGCAAAAAATATATATTTAAAGGTTTTGTTTATTCTTTAAATTTAAAAAAAAATGTATGAGGTGCAGATAACAAAGCAGAGAACAATAGTTTGATGCCCTGAAATAAAATTAACAATAAGAAGCAAATAGTTCCTTTTTATGGTAAAGATTTCATGGCCTCTGACAAATGCAAATGAAATCCAAAAAACCTAATCTAAGACTTTAACAAAGAAAATAAAAAAAATCCTCTAAATTTGTTGACTCTTGAAAAGTTTAAAGTGTGGAGTTAAAAGAATTACTGGACATTGTAGAAATTTAACCCACAGGACCTACAGGAGGGACAGTTAAACCTCAGGCCTTTCTGTCAAGCAGATTTATGGTTTCAATTGAGCCAGTGGTCTTTCATAAAGGAAAGAAAAAAAAAAGAAGACAGAAAAAACATACTCAGGTTTAACCTTGGAACAAAAGGTCTAAAGAAAGAAACAGTCAGAAGCTCAAGGAAAAAAAACGACTGTTTTTTTCACCACGAAGGAAATCACTCAGAAAAACATTTAAAAAAAAAGCAAAAATAAATAACAACCAGGGATCTCTCTTTTACGCTGAGCAGGAATATGTGATAACAACTAACAAGCAATGATCTGCATAATAAATGAGTTAAATAGAAGCCTTTTTTTTTTATCTGTGTTTGCTCACATAGTGTGTTTCTGTGACAGTGAGTTTGAGCCTGACTACAGGGCATTTGGTGCAGCTTCTCAGTATCCTGTCCTGGGTAATTAAGAGCTCTACTACAAACACTCAGCATCTCTCTGGAGAGGAAGTCTCAGTGCCACACAATCCCTAAAACAGAGCTTATTCCAATGCATTTGGTGTCTGTATGAGGGGCAAAAATCAACACTTTGTGGCATATTTTACATACGACAGCTGCAGCATACAGTGTAGGGATTTTATGTTAAGCTGATGCGTAGAGTGTGAAGACAATGCACAACTTTGTGTCTATTTTTTCCCTAAATTAAAATGACTTGTGAAAAAGAAAAAGTTTAGTGTCTGGTATCACTGTTTGTCTTTTTGTTGGATAATGTTTGCTCACATTAAGGTACCTTAAAGAATGGATTTTCAGGTAAATAAATGCTACCACTGCCTTTTAAACCAACTTTAAATTTACTTAAAATTTATCTAAAATGACCTATATAAAAAATAAAGTTTTCTTGGGATATCTATGTCCAATAGCATTAAGCTCAGTCCTTACTTTACTCCTCTTGGACATTGGCAATGTTTGCTAAAGGACAGATATAGATAATCAATGACATTCTGCACTGCAACAGTGCCACTTGATCCCAGTCCAGTTTAACATCAATATATAATGAAAACCAAACTGAAAGCAATAAACTTCTGGAACAACTTAGAAGTGAATTTATTTAAAGTCCAGCCAAGTAAAGTTTAATTGAGTTCAGTTAATTTCTGTGCATAACAAACCTGTAAAACAAAGTAATTGAGAATTTATCACTTTGGCTGTCTTTGACTGCAGTAACAGAGAAAAGAGGAATACATCTGCTTCCATGTTCCTCCATATTCAGTAGCGTTTTCAATCTCAGGAAATCCAGCAGAATGCTTGGAGTCATATACTTTGCAGAGTTCACACCTCCTGGACCAGCGTGTAGTTTAACATGCCTTTGTAATATTGGATAGCCACTTGCACTGGGTTTATGGATTTTGCAGCAATTCTACATATTGAAAATGTACAAAGCAACAGTAGAGAGAAAATCATTTCACAGCAAAAAACCACTTTAGTGTGAATGACCTTCTGTCTAGTCTGGGTTTGAGAAGATCAGTACAAACACAAACACAAAAAAACACAGCAGCCATAATGCAGGAGTAACTTCTACAGTATGTGAAAGAAACACAGCCAAGCAGATAAGTATTTAATTGGAAACAACAGAAAGAGCAACTCATTTACTGAGCAGCAGATTCGTAGAAGTAAGCTGCAGATTTTTCACAAGGGTGGCATCAATTTGTCCTTTGTATGCTGCACATTTGATCCAAATATGAGTTAAAATTTGATGAAATATACTTCTTATTTAAGCTAGTTGGTAAAATTATCTACCAATATATTTCACACAAATTAGATAAATAAATCTATGTTTAGATCAAGCATCAGCACTTAAAACTTCCTAACTGTTAAATTTTAATAGTTTGTAGTCTTTACATTTATTTCTAATCATTTCCAAACTGCTTTTGTCAGTATAATTACATCCTTTAACATTTCTGTTGCTCTCTTCACATAAATAATAATGTAATGTGGCCAAAATCTCATAAAAGCTGCGCTCACCTCTATATTATCATGTTTTAGTTGCCAGAAAGCAAAAGAGGGTGAAATTTCCCACTTCTTACAGTACATGCCTGAGATTTTTATTCCTTTTTAATAGATGTTAAATATCTTAATGTAATTTGCAGACAACATATTACTATTATTTTTGACTGTACTCAACTTCACAATTTTCAAAGCCGATGGTTGAAGTCAGAGGTATTGATAGGATCCTACAATGAAATGAATAAAACCTACAGCACCATGCAATTTCTGTGCCT